CAACGATAGGTGCTGGGGCGGAAGCAGCACAGTCACGCCCAAAAGGTTTAGCCAGATTGATGCGTTCGTATTTTGCACTGGGTGTATGTGACCAATATATCTGATGCGTCTCGCAATCTAACCTGCAGGTCCCACTTTTGATAGGCATAGTTCAAACTTTTGGTGTTGTTATCAATTGAAGGATAATCAGCTTGTGAACCATCACCTTGTTCACTGCCTTCTTCCACTCTTATACATGGCTGTTTCTGCACTCATTGATTTCGTTACTAGTACTGTGGCATCCCACTTATGGAACCCTGTGATTACACGTATGAGATACATAATACACAAGGAGGAAAATATTGGCAAGCTGGACAGAACTATAAGGAATCTAGAAGCCAGGAAGCAGGAAATCCAAATCCGTCTTATGAACTCCGAAAGGAAGCAAGAAACATGTAACCCTGAAGTTGCAGAATGGCTAGAGAAAGTGGCAGAAATAGAAAGTGAAGTGAATGAGATGAAACATGGGCAGAGGAAGAGAAGGACCCAGTCTTTCAGCTATTGGTCAAATTACGAAACTGGTATGCAGGCTGCCAAGAAACTCAAGGAAGCTGAGATGTTGCATGAGAAGGGATCCTTCAAACAGGTGTCAATTGAGGTTCCACCATGTTCCGTGCAAGAAATGCCCACTGTACCTTCAACACAAGGAGCAGACTGTAACTTAAGCAGAGTCCTCCAGTACCTCAAAGATGACAGAGTTGGAATTGTAGGGGTATGGGGAATGGGAGGAGTTGGTAAGACCACTCTGCTCAGGAAAATCAACAATCACTTTTTGGGTGTGATCGAAGAAGACTATGGATACGACCTTGTTATATATGTTGTGGTGTCTAAGGCGTGTGGAATAGGGCAGCTCCAAGCAGACATCTCTGAAAAGATTGGTCTCTTCCTGAAACCAGGCTCCAGCATTGAAACACGGGCTTCAGTCATGTTAAGTTTCATAAGGCAGAAGAAGTTCTTGCTCCTGCTAGATGATTTATGGAATTATTTGGATCTAGCAGAAGCTGGTATTCCATATCCTAGTGGCCTGAATAAACAGAAGGTAGTTCTGGCAACACGGTATGAGAGTGTTTGTGCAAATATGGATGCTCACAACAGGGTTTTCCTGGAATGCTTGGACCAAGAAAAAGCTTGGAAATTGTTCAAAGAAAAAGCAACAGAAGAAACCATTAATTCAGATCCTAGGATCGAAAAGTTAGCACATGTAGTTGCAGAAGAATGTGGGGGCTTGCCCCTTGCTCTCATAACTATCGGCCGTGCAATGTCTTCAAAGAAGTCTTATCATGAATGGGCACTTGCTTTATCATTTCTGAAGAAGTCTCGCATTCATGAGATCCCAAATATGGGGAATGTTAGCCACCTATACAATAGGTTAAAGATAAGTTATGATTAGCTGCAGGATAAACAGATCAAAGAATGCTTCTTATGTTGTTCTTTGTGGCCTGAAGATTACTCAATTTGGAAAGTTGAACTCATAGACTGTTGGATGGGGATGGGTTTGATAGAGTATGATACCATGGAGGAAGGATACAACAAGGGTTACTCCATTATTGAGTACTTGAAGGATGTGTGCTTGCTGGAAACCGGCTACTTGGATGATAGTGAGGTGAGAGTACATGACATTATCCGGGACATGTCACTGTGGATATCTTCTGATTGCAGTGAAGAGCACATGAAATGGTTTGTTCAAGCCGGGGTAGGACTTTATAACATTTCTAATAGGGACATCGAAACATTTAGGTCAGGTAGAAAGATATCTCTAATGTGCAATTACATCCCCGAACTTCCTCGGGCCTTGAACTGTCCAAACCTCTAGTTTCTGTCACTACAACAGAATTTTCGGCTCAAGGTCATACCACGTTCTTTTTTAGAGAGCATATCATCTGTGACCTACTTGGATTTGTCCTGGGTTCCCATCAAGGAACTTCCAGAAGAAATTGGCATGCTGGTTGAACTCCAGTATCTCACACTGAAGCAAACACACATTAGATTATTGCCTATAGCTATTGGGCTATTAAGAAAGTTGAAGTTCTTGGACATGAGCTATATGGATTTCTTGGAGAAGATACCCTTTGGTGTTTTTACAAATTTGTCAATGCTAGAAGTTTTAAACCTATATGGTAGCAGGTATGCCGGCCGCGAAGCAGATTTTGATTCAGCAAACCACATGGATCATGATGAGTTTAGAGTCGAAGAATTATCTTGCTTAAGTCTAGGAATAACGGCAAAGAAAGTGAGTACTCTGCAGAGGCTTTTTGACGTACCTGGAGTCCACTTGAGATGCCTTGGTTTATATGAATTGAATGGAGAGAGATCTCTTACTGTCACTTTAACGGAAAGTATCTTTGTTCTGAATGTAATGGGCTGTTCTGATTTAGAGGACTTCTGCATTATGAAAAAGACAAAATGTTATGGAGACCATCTTTCGAGGCTGGAGTTCCTGACCTTTTGGGATCTTCCTCGACTTGAGAAGATTAGTATGGACCATCTTCAAAACCTTCGTGTCCTTACAGTGGGGAGAACCTATCAATTGGTAGACCTGTCCTGCATTTTAAATTTACCATATCTGGAGCATTTGAATGTGTCTTGCTGTGATAAAATGAAGCAGTTAGTTGATATACAGAATGCTATTGTCACGGAAGGAACATATGAAACTCCGATTCAGGCATTTCGGCAACTGAGAATTTTGCAATTGAATTCGTTGCAAAGCTTGAATAGCTTATGTAATTCTGAATTGGATTTTCCTTCTCTGGAATATATTGATGTGTTTGCTTGCCCGAAGATTAAGAAACTACCTTTGGGGAAAATTGGTAAACTGAAGAGGATAAGAGGGGAGCAAACATGGTGGGATAATCTCGAGTGGGACGATGAAAGCAGTTCCTTGTCATTGTTGGCGTCTTTTAAGTCATCAGGAATTTGCTCGGCATCCTTTAGGCCAGAGCTAGATACCACTGTGATATCCTCCTCGCCGAAAGCTTTCTTCACGAAGAGGCAGCCCATATTGAATTCATCAGTACGATTCACATCCTATCCACAATCAATATTTGAAACAGAGGAATTCGGTGGGCATATGATGATGGAATAGTTTCACTAGTATCATTTACCAGTTCTCCTGAACATCTCGCTGAGTTTCATTAGCTGCTCAAGGTATGATTTTTTGATACTACACCATTGTTCACTGACTGATTAATCAATTCTATCAATATTAGAAATACACAGCCATGCTATTCTGTTATTTTATCTTGTACTATAACTCTAGTTTCGGTCAGTTTTTCCGATTTGACGGGTTCAGTTTGATGGTTAAAAAATAAGTTACAAAATGTAAGGTGCACCTGTTGAGTAAAGCTTACGATTAGTTGCTGAAGCGTTGGACCAAGTCAAGTGTGTTTGACCTTGTTCTAGTGTTCGGTCTTTATCCCTTTCAAAGTCGTTATGCATCTGAAGCTACCTGTACTTTTCCACAACCATTCTGAATTGCGAAGAGTGGAGCTCTGGTTTACGCCAGAAGGGAATAGATCATATGCATTAATTTTCATCATCTGACGGCTGATGGTGTACACGGTCAAACAAAATAAGTGTCTTTTTAGCATGTCAGGCTGTTAGCAAAACTGTGTGTTGTTCACCTTGTATAGCCCAGCTCTTGATTGCATACTAACACTAGACAAACTTCTGTTGCAAGCTGCCCACAGACAAGTACTAGGATAACTCCATGTAGATTGTATTAGACAAGACAGAGAAATCAATTGGCCGAGTGTTTATGTTCTAAGTAACTTCTAACACCAAGTCTCGTTATGTTCCATGTGCAGATGGCAAGCTCTGTTTGACTGAATCCATCCATCGTGAATTTGTGATTTTCCATGGCCTCCTGGCCGAACCGAACAGGAGGAAGTTGGATTGGACGGCCACCGCCAGAACCTGGGAAAGCGTAGAAGGAACGAAAGATCCGCAACCGTTAGCCCGACTTGAAATCGATCAACGGACTGCTTGCCATGCATCAGGCACAAGAACAAGATGATGCTGGTGCCACCGGACTGGCTGTCTGACTCTGAAGAAACTGAAAATGATTGTGCGCCGGCGGAGATGCGAACCTGAAGGGTGTCATCGACTCAGGCTGATTCACCCACCACTTCGGGGAAGCTGGCGGCGTCGTGCAGGCCCAGTCTGGCAGTGTGCTGTGCAGCTGCCGATCCAGTATATGTTGTAACCGGACCATTTTTACCGCTTGATCATCCATCCATGTCGTTGTTCATCCTAGGACCCCAGCTTGCATGCTGAATTGTTTGCATATTACTAGTACTTAATTACTCCCACTATGCAGTAAGGGGTCATTCCATTCTGATCACACATGCCATAGGATCGGGCAGTTTTTCGGACTTTCTCTTGGTGCCGGTTCCATAGGACCAAGGAATATATTTTTTTTCCCCTGTAAAAGAACAGCGACTGAAGTCTTGTTAAGCAGCATCTTAAGCTCCCTGGACTTCTCCACAACCTTGATGGAGCCGTGGTTTGTGCTGGATTTCAATAAATCATATGCTTTACTTTCACCATCTGACGATTGATGGTGAACACGGTCAAACGATAACAAAACAGTTTTACTTTTATTGTCTGTCGTGCTGTCAGCGATGGATTGGGTATGCATTGTGTGCTGGCTGTTCACCTTGCTTAAGCTGCGCACAAACAAGTCAGAGAAATTCAACTGGCAGTAGTTCTAACTTGCAAGACTACTTGATTACGTTGTTCGTCAGCCGAATTCCAGCTTGATTTTCCATGCCTCCCGATGACTGAACCGGAGGGAAGCTCGATTCGGACAACCACAGGTGGAACCTGGGAAATTGTAGATTCGATACCACACCTCAAATCAGTAGACGGATAAAGCAAAGGAATCACTTGTCATTCATCAGGCACAAGATGGCGATGGATGCGGTGCCACCCAGTGTCAACTCTGAAGACTGAAAACGATCTAGGTGTGATGGGCATCAGGTGCAAAGATGACGGTGTGCCTGCCACCGGCTGTCGACTGACTTGACCCTGAAGAAACTGAAAATGAGGTTGTCATTTTACTACCCCCGGCATGGCAGTAACGGGTCAATCCATTCTGATGTACACATGGCATAGGACCAGGCAATCTTTTGGCAGCATATATATGGCGATAGAGACTGAAAAATGTTCTTCCTTTTTTTTTCTTAAAAAAGAATGGCCACTTAGAATCAGCAAAGCCGTGCTTTTCATTCTTCTAGAAAAGTTGGAGTGAATCCACTTCCGTTAGTTTGCCCCAACATTTCTCATCCAAAACACGCCTTTTTCTTCTGCCCGTTGTCATTACATCAATCAATCAATCAACAAAACTAACGGGACTGTACACATCATAACAAACGGTTGTGCTGGAGCTTTCTACCTAGGCTGAGGTCACAACCACAGATGTGCCGACAACAGAGGACCCTTTTGCAATACAAAAGGGAGCAAGCAATTTGACTCGCCGATCGACCGTACGGGTTAAAAAAGAAAATCCTCATCTCCTTGGATCAAGTCAGCTCGTGTTTTAACCATCTGATCTTGTTGAGGCCGTGTTCGTGTCTCATCTTAGATCCATCTTTGAAGGTGCATGCCTGAACTTAAACAACTTGTGTATTAGTACTTCTGTACTTGTTTACTTGGCTGGTGGCTGGTGGCTGGTGTGATATTTGCGAGGTGTAATTGAAGCTCTAGCATGCTTATGGTCAGATGCGAATAGGTCACACTAGCTGCTGCACATCGGATGGCGAATGAGTACGGTCAGTCTTGATCAGCTAAGCAGTTGAATGTTTGATTAGGGTATCGTCCTAGGATAAGTCCACGTAGTCCCATCTGGGTGGGACCAGTCAGAGAAATCAACCGGCAGAAGCAAAGACGGGGCGAAAGTCCAGATATGAACAGAAGTGTTTTCCTAATGTTTCTCCTCGTCGGCGCCACGAAACAGCCCCGCTTCCGATGTTCATCGAGAGGTGCGGAGGACCCCGGCCCAGCCCCTTGCCGGCGAGAGAGACTTCATTCTCGTTCTTGTTTGGTGCAGTGTCTCGGTTGGTGTTATGTGGCGATGATGATGTCGAGGGACGGAGCCAGGATTCTACCATAGGGGGGGGCGAAGACAATGACACAAGAGATTTTTCTTTCATTAGGTTAATCCGCTATTCACTAATATCTTAACAGAATTAACTAGCCTGTTACAGCGATAAGAGGAAAAAGAGATAGCAAATCTGAGTACTAATAGAAAGACAACGACACAAGAGATGTAGATTCATGAAATTTTATTAGTGACATATTTTTTTGATTGGGAGCTTGCATATCAATTAAATTATGATCCGGCTATTACCTTGATTCTTGGAATCCTCATATTCACCATTTCCTCTAAAAGGACATGCTTGAAACATTTACCGCTGATGCAATCAAAGAATACTTATTGGATATTTTGTAACAAGAAATTTTGAGTGTCTGAAAATTAAATAATTCTTGCTTAACTCATAGCGTAAATGGAGGTCTTTACTCTTAGTTAGGATTAGGCTGGTTTGCTTTGCCAGATTGCGCAGTAGCATCATGTTCTGATGGTGAGAGCTTGAACCAATTGGTTTGAAAAAATTATTAATCAATTCAGCTGTCTTTCTCTTCATGTCTACACAAGCACAAATACATAGCTGGAAATGTTATATTTGATAATTAATGCACATAGTTTTTATGATTATACTTCTAATAGGATGTGAAAACAAATTACCTTTTCCCTTTGTGTTGTTGCCGCACAACCGCCGTGTGCCCTGGCTGCCGACTGCCACAACCGGCGTCGTG